CAACGTCCGGCTGTCTTTGATCACCAAGATAGGCTTGGCTCTTCCATCTTCCTTGCCATCTGTAGTCATGAAGGTGTAGTCGCTCGCGATGATGGGTAAACCGTCATCTCTCTTACTCTCCTCGTCTCGAGACCTGTGTTGCTGACCTAGGCCTCTCCCAGCAACGCAATGCCGGCACCAAGTCCTGTACTGAACATGGCCTGTGGACTCATGCTCGTCCACCTCCGCCCTTGTCGGGCTCGCTGGTGCGTGCACCAACGCAGGCGGTGCAATCTCCTCACTCTCCTCTTCTCTCTCAGGAACACCCTCAGGTCGGCCCTCAGGTGCTCCCATGTCCTCATCTCCTCGTCCGGCGGGCGCGGCATCATCTGCCGCTGCCATGGCTTGGGCCGGACTTACACCACTGTGGGCTGCCGCCCAAAACCCTGAGTAGGTGCCTTCGCCTTCAGGTAGAAGTTGTAGACACCTTTCTCCTGGTACACCGGAATCCATGCCTTCGCATGGTGCTTGTTCTTCTCCTTCTCAATGAGCTCCAAGATCTTGCCAGAAACCTTGGAGTCCTGCGGGATCAGATTCCCGCCATGCTCGTCTAGCACCGCAACTCTGCCGTGCTTCAAGCATTTGTAGGCCGAGACCAAGGGTTTGTGTACCGGAGCCAACGGGCCTGTGACACTACAACAGTGCCCATACTCTCCGGTTCCTTTGAACACACCCGTACCAGTCCCACGGACCAGCTCACCTGAGGCCGTCTTGAACATAACCTCAGTTCCTTCCTTGACCGGCACTTTGTCTGCCCAGTCCGATGGGATTGCTGTCTGGGCTGCACCGGTGTCCAAATTGAAGCGGACCCATTCCATAGCCTGGAGGTCCTCTCCAGCTGTAAGTGCACCCAGCTCAAACATACCCACATCGAGCTCTCCTTCGGGTTGTTCTTCTTCATGGGCTCCCTCACCTGTGTCCTCTTCCAGTGAGTTCGCTCCTTTGTGCTTACCCTTGCTCTTGCCTTTCTTTCCACCTCCTTTTGAGCCTTTGCTTGAGCCTTTGTTTGAGCCATCCTTCTTTTTACTCCAGCACTCCGCAGCTTTATGCCCGGCTTTACCGGAAATTAAAGCAAACTATGTCCTTGGAAGTTGAACCTTTTCCCCCACTGCCCTTGTCTTTACCTTTGCCCTTACTCTTGCCCTTTCCACCGGATCCCTTGCCTTTGACCAAGCTGTTGATGACCTTTGTGAGGCTGTCCACGTCCATGGGCGCCGGACCACTGTCCGATGAGGATGCTGCGCCAGGGCGTGAAATCGGTGCCTTACTTCCCAAAGAGGATTCAATCACAAGGTCAATTTCTGATTTCATCTGTGCGTAGGTTGTGAGGCGTCCTTTGTTCAACAAAAGGTGGCGTTCAATGTCTGAGGGTACAAGCAACTCCAAGCTGGTCGCCTTTATGTCTTCTGACAGGCGTTCTCTCTCACCAGCTTCGTTCTTGCGATTTTCATATCGCCTGAAAAGGTCCTCGAGTTGCTCTATTGCGGCCCTCACATTTTCCCACCGTTTCACACGTTCTGGGTTCAATATCGCCCGGAGTATGTTTCTCTTCCGTCCGGCGGTTAGGGGATCCCACCGGCGGTGGATTCTTCTCCACGCTTCGAACCCATTAGAACAGCCTATCACCAAGTCCTCAGTCTCTCCATGGGTTAAGGAAGAAAGCAAACGAAACAATTGGTCCCCTATGTCTGGTAAACCGGACACCCCGTCCGGCTCCCCATGCGCGGCCTCGACTTCGTCCACAGTGATGTCGTCGGGCCCATCCTGATCGAGGCACCAATCCAATACTTTCTCAAATTCCTTCCCAAAGATGCTGACAACAAGGTTTGTGACTGAACGCACCCACTTCCGGAACGTATGCTCTTCATTGTTGAACCGTTCCGGCTTACCAATCCCCTTTGTGTCAACCAACAGCTTCCTGGGTTCCTCTCTTTTTGTATTCCTGGCCAATTCTGTCATGCTTTCGGCCAGCCGGGTCAACAGGGCAGTTTGTTCCTGTTGCCTCTGTTGCTGCTCGCGCAACACTCTATTTTCCTCAAGGATCTGCTGCAGTTGCGCTTGTATGGCAGCTACTTCTGCCATTGGCCCTCGGCAGACTATACGTCTGCCTCGCTATCCTCGGCGGGTTCCTCCACAAAGATCTCGGACCCCGACGTGTAGGTTTCCGAGTCTGTGGACTCCTGCTCAGTCGGAAAGCGGACTCCGGACCACTTAGGCTGCGGAGCTCCCGGTGGCTTCTGCTTGGGCTTGAGAAACACCGGTGGGCCTTTACTGCTTTTGGCCACTTCCTCACCCGGCTTTTCCTCGGGCTGTCCCTTGGGCTGCAGCTTGAGCTTGGGCTGCAACTTGACCTTTGCTGCAGGCTTTCCGGATGCTGTCTTGGGCACAGGTGGCGGCTTCTTCGCCGCGGGCTTGGGGTTCACTGCAAGGGCCTTTGATGCAGTGGTGACAGCAGCAGGTGCGATAGGCGTCGCGCCCTTCGCGCCCTTGCCTTGGCTCGCGATGCGCGCCGCACGCTCCAACACCCACGGGTATTGGGCGCGGTGCCTCTCGTCGCACGAGCTGCAAGCCTTTGCTAGGCTGTCACGGGCCAACACCTGGGCCCTGATCGCTGCCTCTACGGCAGCTCCGGCTGTTCCTTGAGCCGGTGCTTTGCTCTCGGCAATTTCCTGAGCGATTGCCGCGTTCCTCAGGCGGTAGTTGCTGGCCAATGCAGACTCCGGGGTGGCTTTGCCTGCGCGCACTCTGCGCAATGCTGCCTCTTGCGTGGCTAGCGCCACACTGATCACGCGGCCTGCAGACTTCGCCGCGGCTGCCACCTCCGGCAGCAATGCAATTGGCTCAGCGCCCGGCGCTGCTGCCTCCTCAGCTGCTGCGGCTGCTTTGGCAGTGGGCTCCTCCTCCTCCTCCGAGGTGCTTCCACTGGTCGGCCTTCTCTTACGGCGGGTCAACTCCCGCTTAGGCCTTTGCCTTGGACCACCTGGAGGGGACTTTGGCTGCACGTTCCTGCCAAAGCCTTTGGGGACAGGCACCTCGTAGCCGTACTCTTCTTCAAACTTATCGAGGGCTTCCTGGACTGCAGGCGGGATCGGGTTATTGCGCTTCAAGTTCAACTTGACCAAGCCCCGCAAGAACCGGTAGGACCTCGCCTCCTTGGACCGGCGTCCGTCCTTCCACTTGCCGGCTGAGTTCTCCTTCACGCGGGGCCAGGGCGCCTTGCTCTTCTTCTTCTTCTCGCCCTTCTTGCCTTTGCCCTTTCCCTTGCCTGCTTCTTCGGGCTTCTCCTCAGCTGCTGCAGGGGCCTCCTCCTCTGATTCTACTTGGACCTCCTCTTCCTCAGCTGCTGCTTCTGCTGCTGGTGCTGGTGCTGTGCTGCTGGCAGCCTCCGGATGCGATGAGGACGGGGCTGCCAGGGCGATCAAAGGAGATCGCCAGGTGCCCCAGGCGTCCGAGTCCGACGCTGAAGCCTCTGTGGATCTATTGACGATCCACCCTTTGCGCGCCGGCTTCTTCGGCTCTGGGGGCTTATCCTCTCCCTTCTTTCTCTTCTTTGGTGGCTCCTCTGGCTCCTCTGGCTCCTCCAGCAGCTTAGCTAAGATCCTCTCTGTCTCAGCTGCCTGCTGGGCAACGCTCTCCTCGTTGGGGGACCAATCTGGTCCCGAGGCCAATTCTTCTGGCCCCTCTTCAGCTCCTCCGAGCTGCTCAGGCCCGGTCTCCTCCACCGGGGCCTCTTCGGGCAGCTCCTCGGTCTCTGGCACGACCGAAGCGCCCTCCTCGCCTGGCGGCTCTGCTCCTGCCGCGTCCGCGGCCTCCCCGCCTCCAAGGCGGTACTGATCCACGCCCTCTGCTGGCGTAGTACCAAATTGAGCGCTTAGGTCCCTCTGAACCTTTACTGCTCCCCGCTACCATGAAAATCTATTTGGCCGCTTCGGAGCGCCTTATTTTCTTGAGCCAAAACATGTCGGTAGTCTCAACTGTACAACTGTATATGACAACAAGCGTATTGGGCTACATATTTCAACACCGGAAGAAACATGGTCAAATCCGACGATGGCAAGCCCAAGGAAACAAACTCGGGAGGAGGCTAGGCTAGGCCAAGCAACCACTGAGCACCCGAAACCCAAAGATGTTGATGCAGATCTATATAGGCATGGTGATCCTTAAGGCCAATGGAGGTGTTGGGCAGTTGCCCATCAATTGCGTCTGGTGGCATGGTTGAGTCATGGCTTTCTCTTGGGGCTATGAGGTGCAGACTAGGCGACGAGGAACAGGGCTTGGCCGCATACATGCAGCCAGCGAAAGACAAGCAAGTGGACAAAGAAACAAACGCCATTGGGCAAGCAACTGATGTGTGTGGCATCTTGGTTCCCACTTCAGTTTCAAACTCCGCTTGTTTGCTGCCCTGCATAATGAGATTAGTGGTAAGCCACATTATTATTGCAAACTGTTGCTTCTTGCTGAGACGGGTGATGCTGGGGACGACGAGCAGCTAGCCGCTGCCAAATTGCCGCACAACAAACAATGGCATGGTAAAAACAACAACCACCTGTCACCGTATGTCCCTCGGTTTTGGCTCCCCTCTGTGACCCAAACAGGCACCACAACAAGCATCTTGTGGGAAACATCCTTGTCACGGAACGGGCTTTCTATCATAGGTGTCCTTTTGGGGCAAATAGATGGCCCCTGGTAGATGATTAAACCACCAGGTAAACCAGGGCCATCTATTTTTCGACCCAAACAACCAAAAAGGACACCTATGCTTTCTATAGTATGTCATGATAAATCAGCCTGCCTGACGAACCGGTCAACGCAATCAACTGAACAGAGAGTCACCAGCCAGCATGAAACAATTTCTCATGGCCCCGGATTCAAGTACTTGGCACATTCGTGAGGGTGTCTGGAGGGTCTCCGCCAAAAGGGATCCGAAGTGCGGCGTGTCTCGCGCCCTGCAGAGAGCCCGCCTGCAACTTCCCGTACTCAGTGGAGAGTGCTGCCGCATTCTCCTGAGGATCCAACGCCGACGTGACTGTTGTGGGAATGTGATTCGAAAATCGAGGGCCGAATCGAATGGTTGGCATCTGGTTGGGTTCCCTACACAACCGGAAACACATCTCCAAAACAAAAGGAATTCGCTATTTTGACGCGCCCGCCTCCTGAAAAGCTTCAATGCGCTGGCGATTTCCAGTGAAACGGCAATTGCTGCAGGTCCAAAAAAGGAAATTCAGGAAGAAGTAAGGATGGAAAGCTGCTTCTCTGAGCGGCTTCCCTGGATCGCTTGAAATGCCTTGACACTCTGGCACTTCAACGGGAAATGCCCCTCGACAGGCCAGCCCGGCCTAATTTGAATCAGGGATGCGATAAGATGAAAACGCAAATGGCAACACAACCGCAAGCAGCTAACACAACCTGCTGAGGATCAAAGTGCTTGTAGAAACTGGCATCCGCAACCAAAATTGAATCTAACGTAAAACAAGGTTTCCTGACCAGTGTGTCAAACACCGTGTCTTTTCATTTTTTCAAGTGACAGTGGCTTTGGCAATCGCGTCTCTACCCCCCCCCATTGCTGGCCGTTATTCCTGGAAAGGGCACGGGCTTGCACACGTCAACATGGAAATGGAGGGCTCTAAATGGCAAACCATGCCGCCTGGTGTAATATGTCAATTGGCACATGTTTTGCCGCGATCGACTTGCGACCACTTTTGCACGGGGCGACGCTTGTTTATACCTACACTGGACCTAGACGAGCAGTTGACTCTGGTTGCCTCTGGTGCACTTCCGCTTGCATGTTGATCCCGGGGTTGAAAGCCGAACTGGCAAATGCCTACCAGTGCTTAAGGCCTCCTTTGTGAGATCCGCCTTCTAGGAGCTTCTCTTGAGAACACGCAACAACGTGAACCAATGAACCAGCCACACTTTCGACAAGGCCTGTGAACCTATGATACCATATCTATGATACCACACGTACGGAATCCAATCCGCTTCCAAAATGACTCATACGGCCAGGCGTATCTGTCGTCTGTTTTGTAGATCAACTTGAGCCACCAGGCCTGCTTCAAACCGACCCGCCCTGCTATCCCGGGGGGCAACGGGCAACCACACCGACATTTTGGCTGCAACATCTGTCCTTGTTCTTCGCCTCGATCTGCAGGGAGGTGATCATCATCTGCGCCTGGCCGGTCGCTTCCTTGCAAGCTCAGGGGAAGGCTTTCCCCGGGCTTCGTTTTGCTCCACGTCGGGTGCCTCACCTGAAACCGTTTGGACCAAACAAACGGTGATCCCCTTCGGGGTTGCCACCACTCAATGCACCAAAAAGGGGAAACCAAAAGGACAAGAGATCGATTCGCGTTGGGCAAGTGAGTCAAGCGCTTCTCTCGTCCATGGGGGTCCACACAGCCGCCCCGTCGGAACAAAAGCAACCTTTACGGAGATAGGTAGCCACAAGAACTGATCCAGTTTTCCAGAAGGGCTGTGGAAACAATTTAAACCTTTACGCATGTTAGGCACATGTTCAGGTGTTTTACAGTTCCCCTTTACTTACCCACAAGGAGCAGGGCCATCTGCTTTCACCCTGGAAATGGACCAACAGTATTGCGGGGTCCCTCATTTCGGGACACACCCATTGAAAGTATTGACACACCCATTGGAAGTATTGAAGCCTCCTGGTTCCCTAAAATCGGTGGTTTCCCTTTTGCTCTTTGGCTTCCCTTAAGTACCGACTAGAAGGGGGGTCCCGAATTTTGTCTGGCTGGCGATTGGACTTCCAATTTGCGCGTGTGCGATCCCTGCCTTTTTCGCCAAGCAGTTGAGAAAGAAGCTCAAGCAACCTCTGCCCACACGCCTGGCGCACTGCGTCCATGGTCGCCTTGAAGGTCCGCTGGTTCATGTCCCCCGCCTTGCGGATTTCCTGGCGGGGATCACTCTGCTTCCATGGAGCTCCGGATGAACTTAACCCCTGCTTCGGGGGTGTCCCTGGCTTGGGGAATCATCACTTTCATTGTGGGTTCGCACTAATTTGCGGTTTGGAGCGTGGTTTGGCCGCGCCCAGACATCCGCCAAGCGGCTCAGTTGCCTCCTTTTTTAAGCACAACGTGACCAAGCAATCTCGCTTTTCTCACCGTTTTTCTGTGCCTCCCCCTCACACACGAAACAAACAACGACTCAACACAAAAAACAGACAGTGACCCCATGGACCCACAGTCGAGCCCCTCCCGCGTTCCACCCGGGCGCAATTTTCTCCGGGCCCCCGGGCCACGGCGCTCATCGTGGCCACCTTCTCGGGGTCAAAGATCTCCGTGGCCGAGGCCTCCGCCTGCGCGCGGCGAGCGCGCGCGCTGCGCGAATCCGCGCCGTCTGAGTTCCAAGGCGCGAGCGCTGCGCGGCGTTTCAAGGGCCCAAGAACCCCCCTCGAGCCTCGGGTTCGAATTGTAAGTCGGCAGGGGTGCTCACAAAACATGTTGCTTTTGGCTCC